GATGATATCACAGATTTCAACAGAATTCTTTTGCTGCTATAGTTAGAAGAGGCATTTACTGGATACAAGCACTCTGAAGGTGCAGTTGTTGAGAAAGAAGGGGGGAAGAAGTACTTTGTCTAATAGTCTCAAGATTCTTATAGAAAAGGGAGACCAATACTTCTTCCTTATTTGAAAAACAAACAAAACAAACAAACAAAAAAGGTCCTCACAAATCTGGCAGATGTTAAGTATGGTGAGAGATGTGCTGGCTGTTTACTGCAGCTCTTCAGATTCAGAAGCTGCACTGAATCACATCACTGAAATTTTCTGTTTTCTGACAGCTGTTTTTGCCATTTACTTTAAAAGCAGATGGGGAAAATGCAAAGAAGAGCTGTCAATTTTATTACCATGTATAATCAGCATCTGTGCGATACATCAGACTCATTGCACAGTTTACACTTCCTTCTCTGTAGTAAAAATTGTTTTGGACTTTCTTGACAAGTTTCTTGCAAGCTTTTCGTAGATGCTGAAATTAAGGTGTTGCAATTAAGAGTTGAGATCACTGAAAGCTATAACTACTAACTTGAACAAATTTACTTAATCAAGAGTTTATGTCCTTATTATTTCATAGTAAAATACATGGTTAATCTGCTGCTCCATATTCAAATTCATGTTTTCTAAAGTAAGTTATTTCATTATTATTGAATACTTTTTTTTAACATTTATTGATAACCCATTGTCAGCACTGCTTAATGTATTTGGATGCAGCATATCTCTGTGCAGCATAATTATTGTGCCTTTCCCTACTGAGCAGGCTTAATAATTTTGAAGGGAACTGGGTATTCTTCATTCCCAGCCCATCTTCTTTCCATGAGCAGAAGTCTTTCATAGAAATGACTTCTTCCAGTGGGAAAATAAGATGGTTTGAAAGCGTCCGTATAAATAAGCATGTTGTCTGTCTCCCTAAGTGCAGAAGTAGTTATCAATAATGGTGTGATATGGGCTCCTAGCAGAGGACAGCATCCTCTTGGAAACCGTCAAAGGATTTACATGTCATAAGGCTCTAGGGACCAGGTGGAAAGGATCTGTCTACTTGCTGGGGACCTGATTTGATTTGATTTGATTGGGTTTGAACTGCAGAAGCACCTTTGCTTCTTAAAATAGTAGGTGGTTGTATATTACAGTACCTGCAGGGATGAGCCATGGGAAAGACTTAGAAAAAGAAACATTCACAGTACTTTTTGTAAATAAGGGAGGTTAGGGAATAGCCTTCAACAAAGGTTTCAATGGTTTCAGCTAGTTTGGCAGTGTTAAAAGACACTAAAACACGTATTGATGTAGGATTTCTTTGAAGTGAAGCAATAAAAGGAGCAAGAGACTTAATACTAAGAGCATTAATTAGCATTTTGTGTGGCTATGGGCAGAGTAGAGTACTTTTTATACATGAGGCAGTGCATGCTTTGATGAAGCATGTACTTAACTGTCTTCCTCCATTATCTTATCTTCTTTAATATGCTACTAAAATTGACTGTGGCCTTTGAAAAAGAAACCACCAAGGTACTGTTTGTGATACATAGATGATCATTTATTAAAAAAAAAGAGAAAAAAAAGAATGACTTCAGGAATGACTTTGAAAGGAGATATTATGCACAAAATTTAATACAAGTTCCATGGAAAAATACAGATATTAGCTTTTTGTTCTTCTCTAATAATGGTACTTCTGACCATGTCGTTTGTGAGCACTTAATAGCTATTTTTTTCAGTAATATATAACTACATCCCATTATATTCCAGAATTAAAATTTTTGATTTAATATGAGGAATTAAGGGGAGTTTTTAATTACTATGAGTTTTATCAGTAGAATGCAAATCTCCTTTTGATATTATTTTATCTCTGCTTTGTGACCCTAGAATATAGCTAATTAGATTTTCCTCTGGAATGGTGGATGCAAATTTGCACTCTGTGAAATTCAGCTGATTCTACAAAGATAAAGCAGATTAGAGGATAACAAAGCTTGAAAATGTGAATTTGATTTACTCTCTTTACAGACAAAGCAGGGTATAAAAGATTCTTCTGTATTTAGATAATCCTATTTTTTCTTTCTTATACTAATCTCATTTTCTAAAATGTGATGTCTTTTATTGCATATACTTTGGCATGAGTTAATAAAAGACATACTTAGATGATCCTACTATAACAAATCCTTTATCCAGAAGAGCTTGTAAATTTATCCTAGTACTATGCAGTCTGTCTGTTAGACTGTAGCTTTTTCACTGAAGGGAAATCTTAGGTAAGGTTGACATGAAGTTCATTTTACACATACACCAGTGAATTGGTAGTTCTCTTAATTAGAACTACTAGAAAGTTGGCTTGCAGAAATGTACTGTAGTAGGACTGGTTTGGGACACAATTTGTGGACCAATTGAACAGCTGTAGTCTGCTATTCCATCTTGTCGTAACAAATGGCTTTCATGTATCCTGCAAGTTTATAGAACGAATATATTGGTAAATTAAAAGAGTAAATTGGAAAATACTTTTTGTAACACTGGACTTTATCTTTCTATTTTCATGAGTTTCATGCCATATCATGTCTAGTTAAATAAAAGCATTTTATGTTTAAGGATAGGTGCAAGCGGACAGGAGTCCTCCAGCAGTAGCTCATAAGTCTCTTCATCATGAGCTAATAAACAGCATTTACAGGAGGCCTGTGTATGTTCCCATACCAGACAGATTGGTATGGGAAGACTGCTATTGCAGTATGATTCTCCTATACAAGGGCATTCTTTTCTCCATTGTCTCTCTCACCACCACTTCCAGTCATCCTCCGTAATATGAACAAATTCTCTCCCTTTTTACCGTCTCTTTTCCATCACCCAATGTATAGGTTGCCTACCCTACACATTTCCCCGTGCTGTGATTCTTTGGCAGCTTTTCCAGGCTGCACACCTGACAAACGTCTGCTGTTCATGCCCCAGCTTTTGTGCAGTCAGTGGCTGCCAAATAGTGTGTGTAAGAGGAATGGATGGATAGCTGCCCTTCCCTTCATGGCTGGGTTACTTTGGTTTCTCAGCTCCCTCCCACTACTAATTTAAGGAAGGATTTATACATTTATTATCTGAAGCTTTTACCTCTCTTTGACCTAGCCTTGTGAGCAGAAAATGGTCTAGATGAAAGGCATGCATAAGCTCTGTTTTCTGAGGAAACTCAGCCAAAAAATGAAGCATAAGAATAGAAAACACTTGGCTTTGGCTGAGTTTGAATTGACCTTTAACTCAAGCAATTTTTACTTATTCAGATGTTTGCTTTCTATGTCTACTCAAGGGTACTGGGAAAGAGTGACCTTGTCCCCTTCCAGCCTCGTCAGTACTGTTGGTCTGATGCAAAATGTGCTTCATAGATCCAAAAGGCTCAGCCAAGGCGAGGAAAGCGTGTGAAAGAATATCCTGTTTATGGAAAAAGTTAACAGTCTCGTACCGTGGGATTCCCTGTAGTGTTTAAAATGTACCTGAAAACTGTAACAAGGTGGCAACATTTTCCTACTTAAGGACTTTATAAAATAATGACCTCTGTCTAAAACAGTGCTGATGAAGTGAGATTTTCTGTGTGTCAGGAAATTTCTTTTTTTTTCTTTTTTTGAGGCTTTCCTTTTTCTTGGCTTCTTTATATGCCAGTCGAGAACAAATGCTGCTAAGGAAAAGCATGAACAAATTTAAGAAATTTTGAGTATTACATGTATGAATATCTCAATCTGAATAAAACCTCACTCATCTCTATATATATTGGAGCAAAAGTGAGAAGGAGGAGTGTTAATAAACTAGGATAAAAGGGGGGAGGGGGTGGGAGGGAGGGGTAGAATAGGGTAATGTTCCTGCAGCCAGATTAAAAAAGGAATTTTGTCCTTAAATTCTACATTGATTTCTGAATATTTTCAAATAGCGCACTAAATTCTACACATTATGGGTCATTCTGCGAAATAGATTTTTGGTGCCATCCTTACATGTGTGTAGTTGATATCTGTGTAAAAGAGAGAAATGTTAATTTTATTAGAGAGGCATAATATATGTTTATATAACGTTGTACTTTCTAGAATACATAGTTTCATTCTTTCAGCTCTACACGATATAATTCATTTGTGCAGCCATAAGCATTAAATAGAGTGTCATGTGGAGATGTAAATTCTATTTTAGATGTCTTTATTGCTGAACCTATTTTGACTTGTTGGTAAATGAATCATGGGTCTGCAGATTTTGTATGGGCAAAGCTCTCTACGTTCAAAAATTTTTGGAACACAGCTTCCACCAGCCATATTTGTAGTATGGCAAGTTTGACTCAGAGTTTCAATCATTTAAAGCAAATATATTCAGTAACATAAACTACAATTTTAGATATGAAAAGTTGTATAAAGAAATTAGAAGTATAGCCATGTAATTCTAATATTACAACTTAAACAAAATGTTTTATATTCTGTATCTAAAAAAATCACGTGTCTATGTTTAAAAATATGGCATTTGCCTTATTGCAGGCAGCAACATATGTTATTTGTTCTGTAGGAACATTCTTCTCTACTTTATTAAGGTTTACATTTGAACGATTAACTGACAGAAATCTTTAGAATTTTCTAAATAAACTTTCTATATAATTGCTGTATATGAATCATAAATTTGGAGAAAATTAACACTAACTCAAATTTGAATATTTTAATGACACTTCCAGCTTAAATTTTACAAATATCTTATGTGCATTGGAAATAAATTTTCTTTATGTACAAGAAGAAGGTTGGTCTTTAAATCATAACATTACACTCTGTAGGATGAAAGACCAGACAAAAACTGATTACCCTTTTTTAACGAATACTGAAATTAAATGACCTTGTATGTCAAGTTAAAAATTGAACTAGAAAGGAAAGCCAAACCAGACTACTTTTTTTTGTTGAAGTCAGTCTTTTCTAGTTTGTTATAGCTTTAAGGTTTTTTTTGGCTTGGTTTTTTTATTTTATGCTCATGATATTGTTTTGCAGACGGCTAGAACAAAATTCAATCAAAGTCATACCTCCTGGAGCTTTCTCACCCTATAAAAAACTTCGAAGAATGTAAGTACCCAGTATTTTAGATTTAAATTACATGTATACACACACATATATATACACAGTGTATATATTTGCACTTGTATATATGTGTATATATAAATATGTAAATAAAAAGCAGTTCAGTGTCATACAGAAGACCTTCCGTCAGTGTGTGAGTATATAAGGAAGTTTGACTGCTGGAAGATTAACAGATATGGCAGTCTGGTTACAAAGACCACATAATCTCTTTGTCAGACTAATAGTAATTGTTTTTACAAAGTGTTAAAGTTATTGAAATTATTTATTATGGTTTTGCATAAAAGCAACATGTTAGTACAGCGAACATAAGAAAAAAAACCATGAGGATATGTCACTCTCATTTTGGAATATCCTTGAGGTTCTGTCTGATCTGGCTACAGGACCATATATAATTCTGTACAAAAGGTACTTACTGTATTTTAGGAAAAATAATTCTATTAGTGTTCATTTTTTTAACCACTTAAAAGATCTATTTTTAGCCATTCATTTTGTTTCAGTGGTTTTATTTTCAAATTCTTTGGCATTCTCTCACACAAGTATTCTAATTTCTCTCATTCCACTCCTAATTCTAATTATTTTAGTCTTTGCTTTTTTGAAAATAGCTTGGATAAACTGTATCAACTTTTATTTATTACAGTGACCTGAGCAATAACCAGATCTCTGAAGCAGCTCCAGATGCTTTCCAGGGCTTACGTTCTCTCAATTCACTGTAGGTATCTGACATGTAAACATGTAAGCTAATTTCTCATATTCCTATAGTAAAGTTATTCTGAATTTTTTGCGAAATTTAGTATAGATTCAATCAACGCTGAAAGCTATAAAGGTAATTTCAGAATGTTACAGCTATAATAGAATATTGCATCATAGCTGGACATTATGAAATGTAGGTTTTCTTATAAATATTCTCATGGTAAACAGTTACAGGCATTGAAAGATTTCTTTTATTCCCCAGTTAGTTGGTCTTAAAAAGAACAATTCACTCACAGAGTTTCCTTGGCAAGTCTATGCACAGTGCCATGCTGGTTCTTTTGAAAGTTTCTTGGGTGACGCACCTGTTGGGAAAACGCATGATCATGCGACCTCAGAGGAGCAAGTATCAAGTCACTGTTGTTAAGTTTCCTTCAGGAAAGTTGAAAAATTATTTTACTTTTAGATTCAGAATCACATAGTATATGACTTCCATTATATCAGCTTTGTTTGCTTTTTTATTTCCTGATACAGTGTCCTCTATGGCAATAAAATTACAGAACTTCCAAAAGGCCTATTTGAAGGACTGTTTTCTCTGCAATTGCTGTGAGTATTTTTTAGTATTTACTCTATGTTGGGGTTACCCAGAAGGGAAAAATTGATGAGATATATGCCTAGAGAAAAACTGGCAGAAGATCCTCTACGTAAGATCAGACTTTAATAAAAACAAATTATCTTAAAGCCAGAGGTGTCAAGACTGTTGTAGGTCAGCTTGCCATTCATCCACAAATGTGATCATATCTCACTTAACGTCTCAGCCTAAAGTGAGTAAAATGAAACTGTTATCTTATGGAATTTATGGTGATAAAATCCATAATACACTATACTGTGCTGAGCTGGAAGTACTCAGTAGTGTGTATGAAGTTGCACAGGAAACATAGTACTTTTATTTAGAGGTAGAGTGTAGTGGATACACTCTACAGTATCATTTGTAGTTATACTCATGTAATAACAGAATTGCAGACTTCCACTGATGTTTTTTATTATTTTCTGAGATTTTTTAATGTGCAATTCTTTGACTCCATGAACTCCAGCTGCTGTTTCTTTTAACAGTTCAGAAACTCCCATGTGTAATCTTATAAACCATTTCTATTTGGTTTTAATATTAGGAGTACAGAGGAATGTCATGGTGATATGTTTATCAAATATTGTCAAGATCCAGCAGAAAAGACTGTGCAGTAGTTGTACTGTATGAGAGAGAATTGTGAAATAGGCCATGAAACAGTGGTAGTGCTTTTGGAAAATATTGTCCCAGAATCACTGCTTGTCGAAGTGGCTTCTTCCCACTAAACTGAAACCATTTACTGTCTCAGTTGCATAGTTAGTGATTGACTAAATGGCTATTATTAAAAACTCATTGAACATGGTAAAGGAAATTCAAGTTCTAGCACCATCTAGGGTTCTACATTTTGATTTTAGTCACTAACTAGTATTGTAATGGGATTTTGATATCCTTTAAAAAGAATTTATTTAAGAAAACTTATTTCAGATTTTTAAAGAAAAAAAGAGAAAATTCTAAAATTATGTTAATTATCTATTAAGAAAATGTCCATAATTTGATACATTCTGCGTAGACAATACTTTTCAATCTAAGTACATTTCTACTTGTGTGGTAAAATTGTTTATCAAAGCATTGGTTTTCAAATCCACCATTCCATCAATAGGAGAAAAAATGCATATATTTCTTTAGAAAAATGCAACTAGTTGAATGACAAAATCATTTTAGTTTTGAAAGCATGAGGGAGTTGGTTTAGATTGGCTTGTTTATTTTAGCTTTAGAAGTCAGGGGAATACAGGGAAGAAAAGGTTCCCTTTGTAGAAGGAGAGGAAGAAGGTTCCAGACAGATTTGGACATGTTCCATGCCAACCAGTTTTTACTACAACTCTGTTAATGTGGCAGCATGCTGATTAGTAACATAAAATTAAATGTGCCACTGCACATCTCTTCCAGCTAATGAACACAGTTTTCAGTTTCTTTTTGTTTGTTTGTTTATTTGGCAAAAGGAACTAGTTTTCCTTGTAGATATTTGATTTTTTAAGCTTGTTTCTTTGCACAGAAAATTACCACATGCATAAGTTCTACCAGCACACACAAGGAATGTGATTTTAGCTGAATAAACTCACACAAGGGTGCAGATATTTTGAAATAGTTTCGGAGCACCTAAGTAAGGTTTTTCCACTTTGCTGAATATATATAACTATCTATATAACTTGCCTTATATAACTGTCAATTAGTATTTGTTCATACATTGTTGTGATTTTAAAATGAATACAAAGTTTTACATGTGAAAAACATTGAAGTTGCAGTAACACTGAACAAATTCTTTTGATTTTATGATTGTCTTCCATTAAACAGATTATTAAATGCCAACAAGATCAATTGCCTGAGAGTTGATGCTTTCCAAGATCTGCACAACTTGAATCTCCTATCTTTGTATGACAACAAGCTTCAGACTATTGCAAAAGGCACCTTTTCACCTCTACGTGCAATTCAGACCTTGTACGTATGCTTTTATTTATGGTTATCTTTAGCATGACTTCTTATTCTACAGTGCACTAAAAATATCAGAAACTGCTGAGACTAAAGGGAAATAATGTGTGAAATTATCTTTTTTTCTCCATGAAAGGCATTTGGCTCAGAACCCATTTATCTGTGACTGCCATCTGAAGTGGCTGGCGGATTATCTTCATACAAACCCCATTGAGACCAGTGGTGCCCGCTGCACCAGCCCCCGACGTCTGGCAAACAAAAGGATCGGCCAGATCAAAAGCAAGAAATTCCGCTGCTCAGGTAATTTTCTTAGTTCAGCTGCTGTTTTTCTTTTATTGGCAAAAACAGTGGTTATGGAAGTTCTAATGAAGGCAGCTGGCTCTTTACAGAATTCTTAAATGTTGCAGAATGTTTTCTAGTTCTTCAGCTGAAGTCATGGAAGTCATAGACGATTGGAACATTACTACAGTTAACATGCTTGGCACTCTTTCTGAGTAGCATTAAATCTAACAAAAGAAATGCAATATATAATACTTCAGAATGAAATGCTGAAGTTATTTGCTACAAGTATCACTGACATAAATCATTTTGTAGAATTTCCACAAGGCTCTGGAGTATATGAAAGATCTAAAAATTTCTAGCTAAATATGGAAATACAACATATTCCTTTTATACAGGGAGCTTACCTCAGACTGAAATTTACTGTTTTCTTTTTCTAATCTTATTCCATTTCCTACTTACATTTCTCTAAATCCTTAACTTTTGTCATATGGTATCCAGCTGTTCCAGGTGCATTTCACATTCTACAATTTATTCAGTCTCAAGTGCAAATAGCAGATGAGAACTGCTTGTTATCCATGTTTTGGATTTACATTTATGACTATCCACACTGTGTTGTTTATCACTTCTTGTTGTGAATACACATTTTTTCACTAAGTTAACTTTAGTCCATACTTACTCTAATAAAACTCATTCTTTGCTTGCTGACATTCAGGTGCATCTTCTATTTTTTTTTTTTTTTTTCTCTTTATTTAGCTAAAGAACAGTATTTCATTCCAGGTAGGTTTGGCTCTGCAGTAAGATTGACTAACTGCAAATACTCTCCCCTTTACCCCCAAAAAGCAAAGTTTGTTATAGCTTTTAGGAAATTGATGCATGTCTATTAACAATAGTGAATTCCTGTAGCTAGACATAGTTTTCTTTGTAGATTACTAGTAGCTCTGTTTTCTGGATAAGAGCTTAGCATGCAGCTCCATTTACGTTTTTGTCTCACAAATTTGCACACACAACCTACCAAAATACCTTTACTTAAATTATGTAGAAGGCTGCACCTGCTAGCTGATATTTCAATTGATGCCTTTGTTTGCCATCTACCTTTCCTTTTCTGCTACTGCTGTTTTTAAAATGTAGCTTCTGAGCTGCTTTTAAACACAGGAAAACCTACTTCTGTCAAAGAGCTAGTACAACTTAAAACAGACTTTACAAACGAATGTTTTCTTGCCTTGCTTTCATGCTTTACACTGTCTTCAGCTACTGCTTGCTCACCCTCCTCGTGTTTGCCAAATCACAGTGGAATGCTTGGAAAAGAAAGCTGACATTCATTAAAGGCATTCTGTGGTCACACACATACAATGAATCAGAAATGCTTTCCCTTAAAGAAAACATGACTTTCGAGTTGGGTTGAAACAGTAATTTACACACTGCTTTCAGCTACAGTGAGTCTAAGATATTTTCTGGGAAGACTCACTTATGATGGCCCTAGCTCTTTGAAATATGCTTCTATATTTATTTTACCTTGTTTGTCAGGTGTGTGCACTGATTTCTTAATAGAAAAAAGCAATGATGCACTTGCATTATTTTCCTAACAGGTGACAAATAATTGTTTGGCAAAATAAACAAAAAAATAATGAATCTATTGATGAATTAAAGTAAGTTATATGCAAGCAGGGTTTTCTGCCATAGCATAATATCCAGAAAATTACCCACAATAATTGATTATGACACCAGTGCACTTGTTCTTTCAAGTATTACAGATGTATTGTCATTCTGCAGTGTCTGAAATACTGATTTATTGATTGGTCTTTATCTTTTAAGCTGGCATGCTAGCTTTTCTCCTAATGCTATGTGATGCGTTACTTAAACTTGCAGCAACCATGTGAGTTCTTCATGCCCTCATGCTAAATGTTGTTTACAATATTAAGAAAAGAAAACTTAAATACAAAATAAGGAGTCATTTGTCAGCATTGGCAGCCACAAAAATGTGTTTTAAAGCAGCATAAAACAGAGGGGGATTCAGTTTCTCAAACCTGTAGTTACCACTTCATTTCTTAATGAGTAGAACAGCTGTATTCCTGCCACAGAATGACTTCTACTCAACTTTGCCAGCACAACTTTTGTCTCTGAGTTAGAAGTGTTTTCTTGCCAGCAAATGTCTTCACAGCTTGTTTATACTATGGCCACACATGCAGCTTAGGTTTGTTTATGTACCCTTTAAAAATGCTTTTCCTGCAAAAAAGAAGAGAAAGAACAAAATCAGTCAAAAAGTGCTACAGATGTACTTCTTGAAATACAGCTTGTGTACTTTCTCTTTCCATCAGGTTATCAGGGAGATGCTGCATGAAATTCTTCTAATTGTTGAAGATCTTGTCCCTGAACATTTTAGTTTTTTTTACTTTGAACTACTAACAGTGATTTATTCTGGAAACAGGAGGAAAAAATGTGTTTGTAACTTTGCTAACAAGTATTAAAAAGTGCTCAAAATACTTATTTATGCTTCTTTAAATACTGTAAAAATCTTTAAATTTCTTTAAAAGTCAAATATCATTTCTATATTTGTTTTAAAATGTCACTGGGAGATCTTATTCTGCAGGTGCTAAGAATTCTTAATTGAATTTGAATATATTAATCTGGAAAACTAAAGGCTGAATAAGTATTAAATCAGGAATTTGAAAAGAAATAGTTTGTCTACTTGCTCATAGAAATATTCCAAGCAGCTAAATCATGTGTTACTTAGACATTTGCAAATGCCAGATGGAATAATAAATGACGACTGATTTTTTTCCTCTCATGAGGTATCTGTTTCTCCCATGTCTTTGGTTTATTAAGTATTTTAAGTGGCATAGCATGTATATGTGTTCAAAGGAGCATAACAGTTTCTAATGAACACATTTAAAATAATGAAGAACAGTGCATGGGAGATACTGTATTTCTATATGAAATTTCTAATTAACCTCAATCTTTCTTCATTTTTTTAATGCCACTTAAAATGAATTATTCTTTCTCTCTGCTGAAGGTGGTACTCCTTAGCAACATCCTCTAATCGAATTAAATTTGAGTTGGAAACATATAAACTTAGTTCATGTTTTTGTCTTAATTGGGATTACTCTGTCTTTCTTTCCTTCTTGGCTATCTTTACTTTTGCAGGAGTTCACCATTTTGGCTGTAAGTAAAGTTCAGTGTCTGAGCTAAATCACAATGTACCTCCCAGCCCTGACGCACCTTCTACTAGTCTCAGTCTTTTCACCTTTGTCCAAGAAGAACCCACAGGTCCTTTCAGCTTCTTTTTGTTTCTTCCAACCCTCAGTTTCTTACTGGATGTTTTCTCCTGATATGTTTAGGACGTTTTCTTTGACTGACTCTGGGAAATGGTGGAGGAAACTTTCTATATGGTTCTTTTTTTTGTTTTTGTTTTTTCTTTCTTTCTTTTTTTTTATTTATTTTTTTTTTATTGTGAATTATTTAATCTGTGACAGTAATACTGTTACTGTGGCACTGGACATTCAGAAAAAGAATGCCATGTCATGTAAGCAAGTATTAAACTTCAAATGCTTCTATAACTTATACCTGCTCCTTCCTCTTTTCCCTCGCTGTTACCCTTGGCCTAATGGATGCAGTTTTGATAATGTAGCGAGATTTTCTGTTGTGCTTGATCTAACCATGTGGTTGTGAGGTATGAGTAAAACATGGTTCTGTCAAGCACCATGGAACGTCACGCAGCTTTCTACAGCATGGCATGCTGCTGAGGCTTAAGTCAGGATCACACATTTTCTTAAAATTAAAGCTGAAGATAGGGCTTTCAATCTCACGTGTTCAAGATGATATGGAGGGTTGGGACTGCAAAAAAAGCAAAAAATCACAGAAGTTAATGAAGTCCTGTCAACAATACAAATCTGTAGCTCAAGAAAGAGAAATGGTGGCATTCAGGATCTATTTATTCTTGCTACAGAGAAATAAAATAAATTCTAAAAGAATCAGTGGCATTTGTGTGATTAGCTATAAACAATGCTAGATTGGCTGACAACACAATCAGCAGAAAGTACAGCTGTGAAAAGCTCAAGTTAATGTTATCCTGTTATGTGAAGTTGGTCACAGTTTCTTTTTCCAGCATATCTAAGCCCTTATATTTAACCCTCTCTTGAAGCCCCTGTGTCTGTTAAATATCACAAAATTTATCATACATTTCCCAAGTTGCCCACCCGTTACCTGCATTGCAGATATCTTTTCAACCTTCTCACAAGAAAAAAATCTTATTCTTTATTGACTCAGTATCTGTATTTTGACTTGACTCTTTCACAGGCACTGAAGATTACAGATCCAAATTAAGTGGAGACTGCTTTGCAGATTTGGCTTGCCCTGAGAAATGTCGCTGTGAAGGGACCACAGTAGACTGCTCCAATCAGAAACTCAACAAAATTCCTGATCACATCCCACAGTACACAGCAGAGTTGTAAGTTGAATCCACAAAGCATTATTTGCTTATGAAAAAGCTACCTAAAACTTTCAAATACAAAACCACAGCTTCTATTTTTGAATAGCAAAAATTACATGTGAGCTCTGTGATGCACTGTATGTTAATAAAAACTATTTGTGCCCCATTTTGGTACCATTAAGCCTTAAACATGATAAAAAGAATAAAAAAGGCGAATGTTCTACACTACAGTTCTCCAGTATGTGAACAACCCATGTGGATTTTTTGGAAAGACAGTGGGATTTATTTTGCCTTTGATTTTGAGCACAGGATCAAGTAGTACATCCAGTATCTAAAGGTCTGTCTTAAAAGCACTACCTAAGTGTTAAATAAAACAGAGCTGACTGTTGTTATGCAAAGCTCACATTATGTGTCAGGCAGGAGACCAGAGGAAGATAAAGTAGACAAGATAGAGTTGGATTAAGATGAGATAATAATGTAATGATGTGGCATGAGCAGAAAAGATGTCACAGATTATTACTTGCTTAATAAGTGCCATATGGGAAGGCTCTGTAGACATTACAGCTGAAGTAGTATTCAAGAGGGGATTGAAAGATAAAATTAAGACAGCTTTACAAGTTTTTCCCATGCGTAAAACAGTGTAGAAGAAAATGCAGAGATGCTTGAAGAGCCAACAGAAAAGCATGAAGTGAAAGTGACCACCACTGGGAGAGCCAAGAAGGGAGGAAATAGCTGTTTTTCTTGGGAGACAGTATAAAGAGCAAAGCAGAGCAATAAGGTGCAAAAGACAGAATTTGTTTTAACATAGTAAAGTGGGAACAGAGATATGGAGATGTAAGTGATGTGATCAGCCACAGGGGTGAGATGAGCAAAAATGAAATGTGGCAGATATCTTAAAAGACAGTCTTTGACTAGGAGCAAAGCAATAGTACAGCATTGAATAATGAGACTGCAGTTAGGGATATTGAATGTCTGAATGGGAAAAAAGAATTTGAGGTATTGTATAAATAGAGATGGTGATTTTTGTATGAACTAGGCGAAAGAATTCAACTCAGTGATGTTATAATTACAAATCTAAGTGGCAATTCTGGTTGTTACCTGTGTGATAGCAAACTGAAAGTAAAAAGTAACATATGTCATAAAATCAAACTTCAGTTTTTGGCCACATTTAAGCTGCTGTTTGTACAGTAAAACCCAAAAGAATGTCATAGGATGTTATGTCATAATATTTTGAGATAAAAATACTTCCACCGAAGAATAACGGGTGGCAGGTTAGACTATAAGAGGAGTACACGTAGTAATTGGTGTAAAAATTATAGTTACCGTGCCAAGGTGAGAATTGGAGTTGCTGAAACGACAAGAATGCATTGTCCTGATTCTTAACAGAATTCATGTTTAGTTCTCTCTCCTCTGAAGAAGTTATACTCTTCATTTAGTATTTTAATCATTGATTTTCCTACTCATTTTTTTACATGTGACATATGAGCTCTAAAGTGTTTTCTTTCTATAATTATAATTTATACATATTAAATTCAGAAGAAACAATGAAATTATCAAGCCTCATCTGCTGTGTATCCCAAGCTCTCAATTTGCAGTCAACAAAAAAAAATTTGTTTCACTAAAAGATAATTCATTTTTGGTTACTGCACTTCTTTTAAAAAAATGCATTCAATCTCATTTGAAGGTATCGGTGGATTAAAAATGAACCATCTCCCTAAGAATGTTACAGAAGTTAATCATTCCCATTAATCTCTGTTAAAATCTTTTAAAATGAGAACATTACATTCAGATAGAATCTGTCTCTCTTCAATTTTCATCTTTTCTTCTTTTAATATTTTTTGCTGATAAAGAGCTCTTTTCTTTCCATTCTTTATCCATTACTTACCGTTCTTAAACTTTAACAGTCACTACTCAACTTTCTTCTTGATAAACTGTAAAGATTATGCTTCAACTCTTGTGATGTAAGAGAATTTTTAACAACCTTAAAATATTTTATAGGCGTGGTGAAAGTATTTCTGCATTTCACTTCTAAAAATGCAACTGCCATAGCTTCTGCTATTTGCCTCGCTGTTGCTTACAGCTTTTCCTTCTTTCCTCCTGTCATCTCTTGTTTTTGATGCATTGGAACAAAGATTGCTCTGCTTGGGACTTCAGTCTAGTTCTAGGGTCACTGTGGTTTCCTACTCACTTAATGACACATATGAAAAGAACAGCTAGTTAGCCTTTCTTTGTTTTAACCTCCAAATATGTGTTAAAGGTATTTAGAGCTAAATGACATTAATGCTTCTCTAACAGTGAAGAAAAAGGCTAGATTATTCTCTCTGGGGTATTCCTTACAGCTGAGACATTTGGAGCTTGGAAACAAAGATCAAAAGTGAAGAAATGTTGAGATTTCTTTAGATTTCTCTGTTAAATATTTGTTTTTCTCAAATAATTCATCTGGAGATCTCTGAAGTCCAGACTTCTTTGTGTCCCTTAGCCCAGAAGGCTGTGAAAGTAACAGGAAAACTGTAAGCTCTAAGAGAACTTTTATCATGGGTTCTCTCTGTGTAGATGGTATAAGGAACAAAATAATTATTTCCTTAGTCTGACAGAAAAATGCATCTTCATTCACAGTATCATAATGTGCAACATGAAATTTAATGGACTAAAGATGCTGAACTACTTTTATCTCCATCATTCTACAGCTAACGAAATGAAAGATCTAGTGATAAATATTGCTCATCTAGAGTTCAAGAAAATATGTTTCTTTTAAATCTGTTTTAAAATTATATCCTGAAAATAATTTCTCCTTTCTCTACTAATATCAGCTGGTAACTTCGGTGTTTCAGCTCAACAAACTGCAGGGATGACAGCAAAGTGTTCTGTAAAGGAGTTTGAAGGCATTTTTTCTAATCACGGGTTCTACTACCTGCTTACTTGCTTATCTGAGATGGCTTGAATATTGTTTGTACAGATTACAACAGCAAAAAAATGTAGCAACAAAAAACTCTATCTTCAGAGTAGTTTATTGTTTGTATATATATGTACACGTATATATACAGATCTAAAAATAATAATGAAGTTCAAGACAGATATTTAATTATAAAAGGTGAAAAAATGCTTAAATGAGCCAAGTGCAAGTTAGTTGTTTGCTTGTAATCTTTCAGAAAACCAGTCAAAGGCCTATCTAATGTGCTACTGAAGTATTTGAGATAGAATACTAGTCTGTAAAAGAATCCTGGACATCGGATATTTTTTAAGTATCATACCAATATACAAGAAAACTCATGAAACATTTGATTCAAGCCAGAGTTTCCAGGAGAAAGTCTAAACAAAATGAACTTTGGTACAGTATGTTCCATTTTTTTAATGTCTGTACAATGTATGATAATGTATCAAATCCTAACAAGATAAGCTTTGAAACATGAAGCACTACGGAATATCACTGCAGTCTATAGTCTTCCGAAAGGACTCAGTTCTTGTACCAGAATATGCATTAACAAAACAAGAGAACACATCAAATAAAACTGAAAACTAAACATTTAGACATCATCATCAAATGCTTTTTTGTTTGCTTTTTATGTTTTGAGAATGACATTTTAGTGATTCTCTATAAATAAACCAGAATCAAGTGTTTCTAAGATCTTTTCATGAAGCAGCAGGTAAGAACTATCATTATTATCTAAGTGCACTGGGCTCCAAAGGGAGATGGCATTGCATAAGGTAATTTTCTAAACATCTGTAATAAGTTTTATTTCTGTGTATGTGGTATCACTTACCTAATAGTAGAACAAAAACTTCTTGCACAGGTATTTAATTATTCTAGATCCAAAGCCAGCAATCTCCAGCTACTGAAATGCCATGTTGTCATTCTTCTGACCATAAAACTGTAGTTCATAACTCTTGATGTCCCTTTTTTGTGGATCTATCCTCAGTGATAATGCATGTTTTGTAGTGTCATCATACCCATAAAGTCAGAGAGAAGATATGATTTGTGCTATAGCTTAACAAGAGACAATACTGTTCAACCTGTGTTTCTTTTCCATCATAGTAAGCTATAGAGAAACTTCTTAAACACTTAGAATCTTCATAACAATTTGCTCTGTAACATCAAAAGCACTCTAGGATTATTTAAAATAGAATAAAAGAAATACATTACAGTAAGAAGAACTAGTTACAATACAAATAAAAGATTGAGAACTATGTAGGTAGTATCTGAAGAGAAGAGGCTATAGTGGTGTTACGCACAGTAAAGATGAATGAGTCCTACTGGGCACTGCTTCAAATTTCATTTTGGGATGTATGTACAGGTGTGTGGTAAGTTATATGAAATAATTGGTTTCCAGTATATAACAATAACAAAATACTAGCTAGAATGCTGCATTATGAATTTCAGTTTCCAAAATGAGTGTGGATCGCCTGTTTGAGGAGAAAAATAATCAACAAGATGACATATGAGGGAAAACTGAAAGTATTGAAAGCATTTATGTGAAGGAAAGTTAGGGGACAAACATACTAAGTTATTTTTAATATGTAAAGGTTTGCTACATGTAGATAGAAATTTCATTTTTAGTGGAATTAGAATTTTTTGCAAAGGTTCCTTAGAATTAAGAGATGTCTTCACAAACAGATAATTCTACTAGATGATATAGCACTTAAAATATGTGAAAAAGCCAACTTTTATTGAATGTTTGGTATTTCCACTGTTGAAACATGGGGGAAAAAAAGACTGTTAACAATGATAATGAAACCTTGTTAAATCACATTGATTCTTTCAGCTAAATTTTAGAGGTGGTAACTTTTTTTTTTAAATAGAAGTCCTTTCTACTCAGTACAGTATATAAATGTCCAACAATTGTACTGTCATGCCTTCAGATTTACAGTCTTAATTTCCCTTCTGGCTATCATTGAGTGTGAGCAGGAAGGATGAAGAAGCAGCGCTGTATTAATTTTGAAGGTTGTTTTTTTTTTTTTTGTCTTTTCTTGCAATAAGGTAATTTAGAAAAGCATTCTCATTTTGGAATTATTCTGAATTCCATTTGACAGTGATTTTTCATCTCTTCATTCATTTCCTTTCTGTTTAAGATTTTTAAATAACAGCTGGATGTGCTTCCTCAACAAGATTATTCCATTAAAACATATACAGCGTCTAAGACTTATAATTTCCATTTTCTATACAGGAGATGAAATAAGAGACACTGGGTCAGGGCACACATTTTTTTAAATAGATGTCCCCTAACCTAGCAGCTGCTAAATGTACACTGTGCTAGAATAGTCTTGATACCTGGACAGGAAAGATAAAAATCCATGTGACTTTTCAGGCTAGTATCTGCTACTTACTACACTTTTGTAGTGTTACAAAGCAACAGTTAATACTCTCTTGCACAATTTGTTTGTTATATTTAGTGGTCTGAAGATGAACCATGGCCAAAGAAATGTTTTTAAATTCTTCTGAATGCCTACACATTGTTTCAGTCTCTATTTCATAAAAGTATTGAGAATAAAGTAATTATTTCATTCTTGTAAATAGTGTTTTGTGAGCACCTCCAGATGTCTGGCAAACTCCACCTGATATCCCTTAAAGAACAGTAAACTAATCTTCAGTCGTTTATATGTACTTCTTGAAGATTTTTATTTATAAGTTGCCATGGAAGTCTTCCCTAGCTACATTTGTGTTTTTCTTCTCTTGAAAGAAAATTTAAAACATCTTCTTATATTTTTCTGCAGTGTTAGCTGTATGCTACTTTGTAATCTGTTTTTGATTCTGTATTTCTGATGAATGCCTAATTTTAACTAATGAGAATGTTCATTCACGGGAATTTTCAGAATTAGAAATGTCAGTGTATGTTGAATTGTTCTTCAGGTACCAGTATTAAACAAGTTATTCAGTTCTACCATTCCGAAAAGCTCCCTTAGTGTGGAATGGTCTTTAACAATGCTTGAATATTTTTTTTCTGAAATTGATGTTATTTCTTGCAGGCGACTCAATAATAATGAATTTTCAGTTCTGGAAGCTACTGGGATCTTTAAGAAGCTTCCTCAGCTGCGAAAAATGTAAGTACCACTTCAATGATCTTGTCTGTTTCGATATCGCAGTAGTTTTAGTGTCGTCTTTCTCCACCTTTGATAGTTTATGTCTATTAAAGTTTCAATATATTCTAATGAAAAAATCAAGAATGGGTTCGTATCAGTCATTGAGGTAGATCAAAGCTAGCAGTCCATCTCTTCGGGACTAAGCAACCCGGTAACAGCCTCTCCTGGTGCACAGCTCCAGCAGCTCTGCTGCATGGTTCCGCCAGCTGGTCTGTTATGCAGCCACAGCAGGGAACTTGAGTATAAGCTGCTCAAAAATGGTTCCAGTAACCTTTTGTAACTTCCTGCGCTACTACTCCCTAACCAGGCAGTTTTGCCTCTTTCAGCACATTCAAGACATGCCTTTGATTCTGTGCTTCATTAAACTATCATTAGATGAGGGGAATATCAAAATTAAATGACTGAGAGAAAAAAAAAGAGAGAAGGTTTTGATAGTTCATTTTCACAGTTGACATTCTAAGAGTTGCTTGTAATCTTACCAATTGTAGATGTTAATAAACCTTTGAAAAGCTTTTCTTTCACTTCAGGCATGTGGCAGGCATTCAAGAGCAGATCATTTAGTTACTTAGTGGTTCTCTGCTCAATATTTTCAGGATTTAATTCAGGCATAAATACTAAGTGGAGAAAAATGCAAGTCAAATTAATGAAAATGATGCACTGCTTTATTAAATGCAGTCACCAAGTTATTACCACTTGTAAAAATTTGGTTTGTGCTACCAGTGACTAAAAACTCAAGGTGAGCAATACTAGTGTATAAACTTCTTATTAGCCTTGCCCAGATATGAGCTGGCTTAATTATTTTTTTTCCTTTGACCTATCCACTTGAGTATTCCATGATAATTTGGATCTGGGCTGAGGTACTTAAGAGAAAGAATACAGCAATGACTGACACAGCAGTAAACTGGGGCTACAGAGTAGATATCCAGTTTTTTCATTCCTCAAAGATCACAGATTAGCACTTTTCACAGCTGTAAAATACTTAAAGTAGCATTCAAATACACCCACATCAATTCTTCGTATTTAAGAAAAATGGAAACTAGGGAATGGACTGTCAGTAATCAGATCTTTTCAGGCTATAAAGCTAGATTAGTCAACATCTCATGCTACCTAAATCTCATTTGCTGCTATTTAGTTCAGGAGGAAGTATTCAAGGCAAAAGAAAAAGTAAGTCGAATATTGATCAGTGCAGCTGTCTGCTGAACCCCTTAAAAGCTTTGAAATCTGTATAACTGAGGAGGAAAAAATTGGAAAAAATGTTACAGAAAAGTTAACATTTTATTAATATTCCATAGTTTTTTAATACAGCTAACAATTCTTAAAATATTCAATTCAGAGTATGCCTAATCATGATTGCAAAGCAGTGAGGTGTTAGAGAGACACTAGTAAGAGTTAATTCTGCATTTGCTTGAAGTTCATGTTTCTTCTGCAAGTTCAAATAGGTGCAGAGGTCATTCTGCACAAATGACATTGAAGAATTGAGACCTAAATGTTTAATTGATTTGATGGTTCACAAGTAATAAAGCAGACATATCATTGATTAGCCATGCAGCATTAATCCTTAAAATAACCTTTGAAATATCCCTTAAAATGTGTGGTAGATGGAGTAATGACTATGTTATGCCACAAACAAGGAAGATTTTAGGAAACTAAGGGCCTGACATCTCTAAGTCGATTGAGATGAAAAATAATTAATTCCTTGCTTCCAGCTTTGTGCAGCAACTTACAGGAGACTGAACAGCTTCACCTTGAAACTAAGTGAAAGTGATTATTATATCCTTCATCACAGGCAAGGTGTATGAGAAATTACAGCTAGACTAGAGATGAGTAGTCAGCATTCAAACAAAGCCACACATCCTTTTTTCTATGTCTTAGGTGATGGCACCAGTTCATGCTGGCAAGCATATGAATTTTTACTGTAACTATTAATGTGTTTCTCACGATAAATTAAAATAATGCTCTTGTAGAAGGTGCATCAAATAATGTTTGGTTCTCTTTTCAACATCGCTCATTCTGTTAAGTAAAAACTTTTGAGTTTCATTGTATTTCAGAATTTCTCAGCACATTTAAGAGCTCTGTAAAAATCCTCAGTGAATTGTGACACTGTCTAGTGTGTAGGTAAATAACTGTTCTGAACAAGATACAAGTGTAAGTAAGTATAAATAGACTTACTTTAAAAACAAGACAAGAATAGAATGAAAAATCTTTTTAAAATGTATATTATTGTGTATGCACGCTTATTGTATATATAGAACAGATACTCTCCATTTGGGATGTAATTTCCATATTTGAACTAAAAGCCACAAACACTAAAATATTTTGGCAGTATCTTAAGATATTTTCTTACATTTTGATCCACTTTGCATGTGAATTGCAGATAACTGAACTATCTATCTTGTTTATAAAACCTTATTTTCTACGAATGTCAAAATGATTAACATATCATTTACTGTTTTCGTTCACACATTTCATTTACATATGTTGCTGTTTATACTATTTTCTTACATCTGTGTCTGTTGAGATGAAATAAAGAAATCAGAGTAGTTGTGCGAATTCTCGTACAGTACCACTTCATTAATTCATCTAATAATGCTAGAAGGACTAGAGACAGAAGATGTATATTCTTTCACAAGATTGGGGATTTTTTTTTTTATGAAAAGAGAAGGAAATTTTTGTGTGGCAGCAGCATGTGCTGAGCAATTGCAAACAATTTCCAAAAACTGCTGTGAAAATCTTTATTCATATAGTCAGCAGGCCATTAACTTTTGTTTTTCCCAGTTCTAAGTTGAGCAGTATGTTCATTGCTTTTATACAGAGACTTAATATCTTGAAATCTACTTAGTCTTTAATATTTAATAGTTCATTTGGGGTATTTAATAAAAGAAAAACATGTTTATCTCTTGTTTCTGCTAATGTGTAATAGAAACCTGAGCAATAACAAGATTACAGATATTGAAGAAGGTGCATTTGATGGAGCTTCTGGTGTCAATGAACTATTACTCACTAGCAATCGTTTGGAAACTGTTCGAGACAAAATGTTCAAAGGACTGGAAAGTCTTAAAACACTGTAAGTATGATTATTTGAGTGCTCTTATTTCTTCTTTTCCTATTTTTTTAAAGTAATTATTTTAATAGAAAGCACTTTTATTTATTTATTTATTTATTTATTTAAATTCTTTTAATTTGTCTTTAAAACTTTGATTTTGGATTAGCTATGGATTACTCAAGTATATATTAAGTCTTTTTCCTATTTCACAGGAAGGTTCTAATAAAGAATATGAATTTTTTAATTATTGATATAATATAGCTGAAGTTCTTCATTGTGATTATTAGACTACAGAAATTATGTTCCCTCTTAAATGATGAAGTAGTTGAGAATAGTAAGCATCCAACTGCGAAAACAGAAATGGGAACTGAAATGTGAATAATCATCTGCTTAAAAGCAACAGAATTTTGCATTGGAATTAGACATTTCACGTAATGGAATCTGATTCAATCCAACTCAATTTTGCTAGAGGAAAAAATGATTCCGGGGGATATTGAAACATGGGAAATGATTTTCTCCTAAGTAATTTTAATGGTATTTCAACAGCGAATGGAGGAGTAAAAGTACTATAGCTTGAACTTATTTCAATCTTTCCATGAAGGTAGTTTAGCTCTTTCCACTCCAAAAAAAAAAAAAAAGATGTTCATACAATCTCCAGCTTCTTTGCATTCTTCAGCATCAATCCTTTTGATCAGCAGCTCAGAGCCAACATAAATGGTCTCTTGGGCTTCAGCTGTCTGAAGATATCGGGCATTTTTAATTTTTAATATATCAGACCTATAATATACAACTTTTCATTTAAAGCTGATGAATTTGTTAAAAGCAGCTAGACCACAGTGTAAAAGAAAATTATTTATTTGTTGAAGGGCAAGTAGGAAAGCAGCAAACTTCAAAGCTCCTGTGTTTTCTAACAGATATATTAGAGATTTTAAAATAGATGTTTCATGCTTTATTTCTGTAATTTTTACTAGGTCCTGGAATCATGCTGAGGAAGAGTCTGGGTAGCTTGATTTCTTTCATTTGAAAGATTTGAGAATGTAGTAGAAGTGCTTTCTATCTTTTATCCTATTAAAATTTAATGTGGAAGGGATCTCAGGAGGCCAGCCTGGTACGGACTTTTGCTCAATATAAATAGCAGTTCTGTACTCGCTCAGGCTTGGAAGCTTGAAGTATGGACTGCTGTGTGTCCATCAAATCCGCTGATTTGGAGGATTTCAGTCAGTTTTATTTATTGTTGATTACTGATTCTGTTACTGAAAGAAAAAAGCCAAATGATTAGGGAAATAGCCTCTTGCATTGGAAAACAAGTTTTTGTTCTCCACTTCTCTCCACACATGCTACACTCAGGTGCCAGGTGTGCACTCAGGTGCACATGCCAGGCAGTGCATGGGTCACTGTGGTTCCTCTAATGGTAGCAGTATCTTCAAGTCACATCTCTTGGCCTTTGCTTGGGCAGCAGTTCAGCTCTCACCCCTGCTCTCACACCACTTTGGCTCCAGGCCATACTCCAGGAGCTGCTCCTTTGGCTTCCGCCCATGCCTGGGCTGCTGCTTAGCACTGTCCCTCCTCTTACTCCAGGGTGGTCTTCTCAGCTTACCATCTCCTTCCTCCTCCTGCTATGGCAGGAATTGCTTCGTTTTACCCCCCACTTTTGCATTATTTTGAACTCGCAGGCTCTCTCAACTCATCTGATCAGTTCAGAAGCACTACAGCCTCCTCCTTGTGGTTTGTTTTTTGGCTGCAACAGGCTGATTGGCATGGAGCAATCCCTGACCTCTCCTCACTGAGGCCACCCTTCATGTTTATACCTAGTTTAGCTTAAACATTTGCAGGTACATTTTTTTAATTTTAATCTCTTTGGTAGAGTACACAGAGGAAGTGTTAGGTGATCCATGTTACTTGAAATTCAGTTAGCAATCAGTGCTAACACCAAACATCACTGAGTGCTTTGACTAGCCATAAGCTGGAAAATGCTGAACTTTATTTCCTCAGGATGCTGAGGAGCAACCGTGTGAGCTGTGTGGGGAACGACAGCTTCACAGGCCTGAGCTCTGTCCGCCTGCTCTCGCTGTATGACAACCAGATCACTACCGTGGCACCTGGCTCCTTCGATACCCTGCATTCCCTCTCTACATTGTGAGTCATATCTGTGTCCTTTTTAAATGCAGTGCATATGAGGGAAGAGGAAATTGGGTGAGAAGTTGCCAGTCAGTTTACTGAAGAAATGCTTTCTGTGGGTAGCATCATTCAGGAGCTTACTTAAACCTCATTTTACATAAAAAGTGACATTTTGCACTGAGTGACTAATTTGTGCATATTAAGGGTGGCATGTTTATAAATAATGGAATTGTCAATATGCTTTTGCTGAAGTTAAGAGATGTGAAAGACTTCTATAAGTAATTTCATTTTTATAACTGGCATGTAATCAACTTAGCTGTCACTTCAGATAGGAAACTTATTCTCTGGAGCAAATAAAAGATGGAAATCTTGAGATGACAAATTAATGGAATAGCTGTTGTCAGGTTAAGGCTAATAATGTAAAGTAATCAGCCTTCATCTTTATATGAAATTATTGTATAATCAGTACAGTGTGGCTTGACAACTAGGTAAGTCTTTGACAGTTTTAAATTATTTCTAAATGAGCTCTATTAGAATTTACTATGTGGAGCCTAAATTACAGCTTTTAACTATGGTTTGTACATACTGTTATTTGAAGACCTGTATTTAGGCTTAGCTTTTTGAAAATAGAGTACTTAGAATGAAAAAAAGTTCTGTCATGAGAGGTGAACTTTCATGTGGTTCTAGAAACCTCTTGGCCAATCCCTTCAACTGCAACTGCCATCTTGCGTGGCTTGGAGATTGGCTGAGAAAGAAACGCATTGTGACGGGAAACCCTCGCTGTCAGAAACCTTACTTCCTCAAAGAGATTCCTATCCAGGATGTGGCAATTCAGGATTTTACATGTGATGATGGTAAGAAAATTTATATTTTGAATTTTACAACTTCAGCTTTCATATGAATAATTTCATGAATTCCATGGGGCACAAAGTAATGTTCTTTAAATTGAGAAATAGTATTCATTAAATCACTTCATGAGTTTCCTACTCATTTACTTTGTCAGTTTATAAACCTTTCACCCACTTTTAGAAAATTAGCAAGCATATGGCTATAATATACATACTTTCAAAAGTTTTTTTCACTTGTGTTCTGTAATGTAATTACAATTAAGAGATAACACAAAGTAAATTAAATGCTGTAGTTCAAATGAGAATATTTTCGAATGTTAATGCTCAAATCAATCACTCCTTCAGACTGCTTGATGAGTTATCGTGATTTTTTGCTTAGTTTGTAACTTCCAGAATTTCCGAATTCCCCTCAACCCTTATATAAATAATGGATATCTTGCATCTCTCTCACATGCACTTCCACGTATTGAATTATTAGTTTGTTAGTTTCCAAAACTGTAACTTTCCTTTAAAGGGACTCCATTTATTTTAAATTATTTGCTTATTTTGAAAATTAGCAAATGTATATTACTTTATTATACTTCATTTTTAGTTGCATTCTTTCTTTAATGTTTTGGGTTTTTTTTTTTCCAAACAATAGCATTTTTATCTAGTAATCTAGTAAAACATCACTGTATAAGTGTTACTTGAAACATAAATTCTTGGAACAATGAAATGAGAACATTGTCCATTCATAGAGATATCACAGTGCAGAAATCTCATTTTTTACTTATGGGAATTACATGTAGGACACTGTAGCTAATCCTCAAATGTTATTTGCATAGCAATCTTAGCGTCTGTATGTTTTTAATGACCAGGAAATGATGACAATAGCTGCTCTCCGCTGTCCCGCTGTCCTGCAGAATGCACTTGTCTAGACACAGTTGTTCGCTGCAGCAACAAAGGCCTAAAAGCTTTGCCTAAAGGCATCCCAAAAGATGTAACTGAACTGTAAGTGGTGCATGTTTTTTTCTCTTTCATAAAAATCAATGTCATATATATGGTGTCAGGTTCAACAATAAGGGGAGCATCGAAGAATTTGCTTACATAAATCAGTTGAAATTTATTGATATACTGCTTTGTAGATATAAAGTCTTTCTAAGAATCTTGAGAACGCTGAAGTTATGTTTGAATTAGCAATGCTGGCTATATCTCAAAACACTCTAAGAATCCTCTGTTGCTGCAAAGCTTCAAAAATTTATAGAGAGAGAGTTATAATCACTCTTGGAATTTGTAACTCCTACAATTAAACATTGTGTGTGTCATTATATTACAATGGATTAAATTGTAGGCAAAAGTGAATCTGATTAATCTGTGAACACTACTCTAAATAGGAAGGAATGAAGTTCAGTTATATTCAAAAGCAAAAAAAGAGCCAATTTAGGTTAGATATTAGGAGGAACTTTTTCAGTTGGAGGCTGGTGACGCACTAGAACAGGTTGCCCAAGGATGTTGTGGATGCCCAGAAAGAGGAAGGCAATAAATCTAATTTTTCTAGTGAAGGGTAATTTATTACTGTCTTCAGTCCATAACATACTGCATAAGAACAGGCTTGTGATTTTTCTCGTATGATATATCATGAGAGACACAGGAAGAAACTAGAAAAGATGATCCTAATTACAGTCATGACAAATGAATTTGCTCATATTCAGAACCAATATCAGTCCTTGCTATTTCTACATTAAAGCACTACCTCTGAAATGTCAGGTCTTGTTTAGTCTTTACTGTGAGAGTGGGGAGACACTGGAACAGGTTGCCCAGTGAGGTTGTGGATGCCCCCTCCCTGAAAGTGTACAAGGCCAGGCTGGATGATGCTTTGAGTAACCTGGTCTAGAGGGAAGTGTCCCTGCCTATAGCAGGGAGTTTGGAACTAGATGAGGGTCATTTAAGGGTCACTTAAGGGTCATTTCCAACCCAAACCATTCTATGATTCTGTCATTCTTTTTTGTGATAGTTCAAGTCCACACTTAACATCACTTGCATAAGTCATACTTAGTTTTCACCAGTAGGTGTATGTGAAATGGAGATGATAATGTAAACATCTTAAGAAAGCATTTAAGAATTAAAAAAAGAATGCTGTGTTAACTACTTTTACTTCATAATCTTCATAGTATCTGATACAATAGTGTTTGCATCTGAAGCTCCAGTTGCCCTAGAAAACAGTGTTTGTACACAAGGCTTCTTCTAATGAGAACATTATGTATTCATTCAAAACTTTCTTCGCTGTTGGATTCTAAGATTAGTAAATGAAGATGCTATCATTTTAATGAAAAAAAAATGCTGTTTATTTTATTTTTCTATTTTAGATATTTGGATGGAAACCAGTTTACTCTTGTTCCTAAAGAGCTCTCCAACTACAAGCATTTAACACTTATGTAAGTAGCTTTAAAACAACTTGCTCTACTCATATGAAAACAAAATCAAAAAATCTCCTTCTTCGTTATACTTGGTTTTATTTTTAGAATGGAAAAAGAAAGAAAGGAAAGTATCTTTTAGTAAACATAACACTCAAATACATTTTGTAATGGAGGGTTTTTTATTGCATTGATTATGTCCAACATATGATATACTCAGTCGCATTTATAAACTGGGATGTTTATTCCAGTAATTACATCACAAAGTAAATAAAGTATTAAACTAGAAAAAGTTATAAAATTTTTAAAAATATGTTAAGGTATTACAATATTTTGTGACATAGCTCCATAAAGGCATTATAAAGAAAGATTCCATAGTATGCTTTATATAGGAATAGCAGGAGTAGCACATGCTACAGTTGTAATACTTGAATGTAACTGCTCTGAAACTTATTACTTCTACTTCATGAAAGATTTGAATACGATTTCCGGACTTTGGAAGAGTAAAATGAGAGAAACAGGAAGGCTGTCAATGTAAATGGCTGTAATTCTATTGTCTTTGTTAGCACTATAAAAATTTGTGCCAGCTGAGTTTGAACTGCATAACATTCTGAAATTACTTTGCGGTTTCAGTGTAATCGGGGAAAGAAGTAACAAAAGCAGGGAGAAACAAAATCCTTTAAATTTCTTCTTGACTGATTTTAGAGCACTGCTGCTAAAATTGAAAATAGTTTGGCATTCAAAACCAAGAACTTTATTTCCTTTACTTCTCTAATGCTAGCTAAAAGTGGCTGCGCTCACAAATTTAGAAAAGAGATATTTTCAAACCTTTTTATATTTTACAAACAACATCAGAAAAAAAATCCTGCAGTATTCTCAAATGTATGTAGGTCACTCTGAAAGTAATACCTCCTGTTTATTTCCATGGAAGCTGAACAGATACAAAGAGCTCGATAACATTAACTGATAGAACAAATTCTCCACTACAAAAAATGGTTTTTCAACAATGTCACCAACATTAACTACATTTTTGCTAATGTTGAAGCCTGCATGTTGTGCTCATAAAAATCTGCAGCAGTGGAGGTGACCCACTGTTGCCACTGCTGAAATGCACCACCACCATGACCTCAATGCACTCACATTCACTGTTTGGTCTCCTTACATGTTCAGCAAGCATCAATGAATATCAGTGCTGTAACATGGAGGAATTCAGAGACACACCTTTGCTTCACCCGCACTTCCATGGCAGGTGTCATTTTGTGAGACAGCTCCTTTGCAACAAAAAGTTGCAAAACAGAGTATTGGTGGGAAGTTTCAACCTCTACTGCCCTACAACCAACATCCACCTCTTACATCATGAGTCAATATGATAAAATATAATTACTTTTGAAGCAGCCCTCACATTCACTGTAGACCTTTCAGGAAGTCTCTATTGAACATATAGGGAAGTTAAGTAAAATCTAACTTGAAGCACACAGAAAATAAATGTTGGAATTTCAGTGCATAGAAGAAGCCAACATAGATTGAACTGTATGCATTAATGGTGTCACTGGAGAAAGGATATATGACTGGAAATGAAGTTAATTAGAATAACAATTACAAGGCTTCTATCACAGAGGTTAGGTAGTCCTGGTATATTTTTGACAAACATAGCCAGAAATCATATAACTTTACCTCTTTGTTGAAAATATACATGAACTACTTAGCAGACATCTGTAATACAAGAATTTATAGTTGAATCGTAAATAAAATACAAATGATATTAACAGTTTCCATTTATAAGACTTGTGTATCAGACACTGTTGTTATCTCTTCTGATTGTATCCTCATACAGCTGTTCTGAATTTGAGAATGTTCCCCAGCTGGAGGAACATTTCTTCTGTTTGGAAGACCAAAATACTATGCGTAATTTTCCTGTGGCCAAGCAAGGAATTATGACTCTGTTGAGATCCAGACTTACACAGACAATTGTTCATTTCTAATTTCTTTCTCCCTTAAATAGATTGCACTGTCATCCTTAGCTAGTATGTTTGCTATTATGAGTCAGTTGTCTTACATGCTTTCATGAAATTTCAAATGGAGAAATATGTGTACTGCATAGCTGCTTAGCAGTCAAAATATCAACATCACCTCAGAAACAAATGCTTAAACAGATTCAGAATTAAATTTCACCACCAAACTTTAGTGAAACTTTAGTGAAATCGCCAACAGAAAATGAAAACTATAGCAAAATATGAGACTCAGGAACAGGCATTATTCAAATTCAATACAGCTTCTTCAAAGCTTCTTTGAAGCTGCCAGTGTACCACTCCAGCTTCTATCATACTTGCACTTAAGATTTTATCCATTAGAATATCGAACAACAAGAAAGATGTTAAGACCATAAATCATATATAGTATTCTGTATAATAGTCTGGGCTTTGATGTATTCAGCCTACAGATGTGAAGTAGAATATTATATGATATTTACTCAGGTTTCATTAGGGACATGAAAAAAATGATTTCAACTTTAAACCATCACTTTTATTTCTATACTTGGGTCCATGTAAGATTGTATTATTAACTTAGTAGCATGGTGGACATTGCTGTTGTAAAAGAATGCATCACGCTGCTTTTTCATCTGTGTTGAAATGAAAGTGCTTTTCATGATCAAGCTAAATGCTTGCTGGGCTTGTGTATGGCATGTGAAAATAAAAATGTGTGCTGCTTTAAATATTGATACCAATGATGATGCTACTTCTACTAATAAAAGTAATTTGTCTGTCAGTTTAACTTACAGTGTTTCAGGACTCGGGCAGTCATTTTAAGGTCTGAATTTTTGAATTTATTTTTTGTAGAGATTTAAGTAACAACAGAATCAGCACTCTTTCTAATCAGAGCTTCAGCAACATGACTCAGCTGCTCACCTTGTAAGTTTAAACATGTAACATTGACACTAAAAACATTACAGTGTTTTTTGTCTTGAAAGAAAGGGCATTTTGTTGATATTAAAGCTTGCTTGTTGTAGAGGCTGTAAAATAACTTGTTTCCTAACGAGCTTTGTGTGCAAAAGCTGTTTATGGTCATGCTCTGCATTCTGTTTACTGAATGCTTGATTCACTTGCTGACAGTAATGTGTATGTTTTCAGAATTCTTAGTTACAACCGCCTGAGGTGTATCCCTGCACGGACTTTTGATGGGTTGAAATCACTTAGGTTGTTGTAAGTATTATTTTTAAACTATTATTATTTTCCAAAATTTTTATTTTGACAAAGCAGACACTGGATTTTAAAATCTATCAATTATTTGAGAAGTGATAATTATGTACTCACAGAACTCTAAATTTGTTCTAGGAGAGTATACTGTCAAAATGCTGCACAAGACATTAGATGATCCTGGACAATGTGTATACACTAAAGCATATGCTTATGACTTTTCTGCTTTTTAAATCTTGACTGTACCTCTTCTTGAGTTATGTTCTTGATTGTTATGATAATTAAATTCTAACAAAAATGTAGTATGCATAAATTTCTCAGTTATATATGAGGGTTTTTGCAGCTGAATCATGAAGATATTTATTCCAACAATTTCCGTGTTTCTTGCTTCATTTATTTGAGAGTATTTCCAAAACCATTGCATTATGATTAACTATTGAAAGCCAATAAAACAAATTTTTGATTCTAAGAAAACTTTCACTCTTAATGCTAAGAAAAATGTGTTGAAAGGACATTAGGAGAAGCAACAAAAAGAGAGCAAGCAGAATAAAAAACAGTCTGTCTGATTCAGTTTCAGTTTGTTATAAAAAATGATGAATTCTATATCAAAAAATTTCCCAGCTGAAAATGTAATTTTTGTCTCCATTTTTATATTTTATAACAGTTTTGTAGCTTAAATTAATTAAATGTCTCAAGCATTAATTTTTTTCTGTATCTCATATAACTTCATTTACTTTATATAAATACAAAAAACTTCACTTGTTAACCACAATTCTGTATACATGCAAATAAATGTATTTGTGTAAAAGGAGAGACTTTTATGTAGGAAGACCAGTCCCAGTATAGATGCTTAATAAGGTCTTTAGTATCCAATTAAGAAAACAACCTTAATACTTATTTATATTCATGAACAGTCAGTGCCTGTGTTTCCCATATAACTGTGAAAGATAAAAAACACATGAATAAAATTAGTGGGAATTTCAGGGAACTGATGAAAAAAGACAGAAACAACGATTCTTCTGACAAGTCTAAATTCAGTAAGCACTTTGCAGAAATACACTTTTGACAGACCTTTGTTCTTTGAATTTTAAAACATTCATATCATTATTAACATTTTTAATTAAAAATATAAGTTGAAAAAAATCAAGTAATAAGTAGGCAGCTGGTTAGAGCTTTAAAAAAAGATTGGAAACACAGAAGTACTGGAGAAAAAAAAAAAAAAGATTTAAACTGTTTACAAAAGCTGAAACTTTAAAAATGAATCTGCAGAGTTTTACCCATATATCTTATTTTATTTATTTTCTTTCTAAGGTCCTTACATGGCAATGATATTTCTGTGCTTCCTGAAGGAGCTTTTAATGATCTTTCAGCATTATCACACCTGTGAGTATTCAGATGATAATCATGTGTTTTACATTAAGTTTAGCAAATTGAATGTTGAACAGTGATAACAGTCTGCTCAGGAACAGCCCCATGCAGAAGCACAGGCTGGGTACTGGCCAGCTTAGCAGAAAAATCCTGGACCTCCTGGTGGGCAGCAAACTGAATGTCAGCTACATGCCCTTATGGCAGTGAAGGCTAAAGATTCTCTGAGTTAAATTAGTAAGTGGGCAGTAAGGTGATTAAGTAGAGTGTTCACTCCCTTCTGTTCAGCCCTTGTAAGGACAGTTCTGGAATGCACATTCAGTTTCTCCACTGCAAAGTAGGTGTGTACAAAACAGAGCAAGTCCAAGATAGGAGCAAGCAAGGTGGAGTGGACAGTGTGAGCTCTGTATTAGCTCTGTGAGCTAATTAAGGAGATAAAAGAGATTTTAAGGATGGACCTAGCAGCAGTCTTCAAGCCTCTAGTCTAAGAGAATTACAGCAATGACTGAAACAGATTTTTCTCAGAGGGTGCAAAGTCAAGGATAGAAGTCAGCAGTCACAATGTGCAATATGGGAAGTTTCATTGAACATAATAAAAAATTCTTCATCATGAGGGGTGGTTCAGCTTTGGAAAAGGTTGTCCAGAGAAATGGAGGAATCACCCCTCTGGGGATAGTCAGAACTCAACAAAGCAACCCTGCTCTGACTTTGAAGTGAGCTGTGCTTTGTGCAAGAGGTACTAATTGACCTCCAAAGAACTCTCCCAACCTAAATTATTCTGTGATTCTCTGTTGATGGTTATTAGGTTGACATTGAATGCATGGCATCTGATTACACAATCTCATCTGTGGCAATACTTCTGTTCTTAGTTTTCAGTGGGAACTCAGGGCAAGTTTCCTACCTACAAACCATAATGTGTTTATGGATATTTATTAAATCCTTGTTTGCAGTTGAGGAGTAAATTGACTGATGCCTTTAGATGTACTTGTTTTTTATTTTTCTGAGCAGCTGGAGTTTTAAATGATTATCTTCTAGTTCAGTGTTGGACATTTGCATTTAATTTTCTATTTCTCAGAAATTTGATGAGCCTGATTAAGCTTTAAGTTATTGATAACTCATTCAAAATCTACTATTAAACTAGCTCAACTGTATCAAATATCAGTAAGACTTAAACTTGATTGTCCTTGGTGTTATTTTTTTCTTAATGCTACTAATTATCCTTTCTGACATTCCTATTTTAGCAGAAAAGCTGCACTACCTCAATTTGGGCTGACAATTACTCTTGCAAATATGACCTGGGCAAATTATACATATTTCTTTTTACATGGGGAGTTCCCCATGACCCAGCCATATCACCAGGCCTTGTTTTTGTTACTACTCTGACTAAAGCCTGACTGAACATGTATATATGTACTTGTATATGTATATATGCAATTTCTGCTATTCAGCTGGAAGCATACAATTGTAATGAAAAGAATGTCCTTCTCAGTGTGGCAGAAAAGAGTTTCTGCAGTAGTTCCTGCCACCTTTGCATGCCATGGATTTTATTCTGTCTTGAAGATCCACTGATCCAAAGTTACTCAGCAGTCTGAAAAAAATGAGCTTAATGGTTATTGTATTCCTTGAAAGGATTATGGATATACCTTTAGAATAGCACAATGCTTCTACGTCCAAATCTGCATAAGATATAATTGTTCTCAGAGCTTTAAGACTATTTATGATTTCTAGCAGAAAAAAAAGTAGAGACTAAAAAAGCCTTTAGACAAATTAATTCCAAAAAATCTCTAGCTAAATTACTTTTTAATTTAAAAAGAAATCAAGTTTATTTAAAGAAATAGATTTGTTTTTGCAACGGGGGCAATTCTTACATAGCTCCCACTGAGTTAGGATGGTGTAGCTTTATGTACTTATAAAGGAAAGGTCTCTTACAGAAGAGATGTGAGTGCATTGGGAGAGCTCCAAAGAGGAAATAATTAAATCAAATTTGGAAGTTTGGAAACAGATGGTTTGTACGAGCCTGGGAGTCATAAACTGAAAAGGAAAAATATCTGGGTGGAACTCTGTGAGGTTGCTCTGGTTGCTTTGGAAGAAATAGTTTTTTCTTGCTAACCTAATTTCCAAATATCAGTTTCATTCTGATGATGCAGCTAACCTCACTCATTATTGCCAAAGATAACACAGAACTAGCTTACAGAAGTGTAGCCGAGAATGGCTAGGTTTTTGACCTGGTTTACTGCTGAAACTGTTCATTTGGAGCCTCAGCTCAGACACTTAGTGCACTTAGGGTCAGTTTGGTGGAGGCAGGACTGATTAGTGTTTTTAGGAGGTTTTTTTTTTGCCAACCTCAGTCTTCTGGGGTCTGTTTTCATAAGCAAGCATTTTAAACCTTATTCTCTTTTTGCTTGTCTGCTTTCCACAGGGCTATTGGAGCAAATCCTCTTTATTGTGATTGTAACATGCAATGGCTGTCTGACTGGGTAAAATCAGAATACAAAGAACCTGGTATTGCACGATGTGCTGGCCCTGGAGAAATGGCAGATAAACTTCTACTCACAACTCCATCTAAAAAATTTACTTGCCAAGGTACTCTTATTTATGTGGGGTTTTTTTCACATCCATTTACAGTTGAGCGTTTGTTATAGAGTCTTCACTCTCCCTTGTCATCATTTTTCCTTGTGCTTAGGAATGTAGCCATTGCATTCAGGAGTTGAATCTAGTTTAAAGACTTCAGTGACTTTTTTCCAAGCAGAAGGTTGAGAAAGAAAGTCTTCTGATTTTCAGTGTGACAATCCTCAGTATGTGGTTTACATGGGTACCTAGTACTGTCTTTGTCATGAACTGAAATTTAATCATTTAATCTACACTTCCTTAGCCAAAGAACGTTCTTTACCTTGGAGTTTTACGGTAAATACAGTAAAAAAATTCTATAGATATATTCAAAATCCTTACAGTCTACATTATGTTAGTGGTATGTAGTTGCATCAGTATGTGAAGAATGCTGTTTTCTTTGATGTTTCAGAAGAAAGCCTAAAAAATGCAGAGTAGATAAAAGATGTGATTTCCTTTATGGAGGAAGCATTCCAGAATGTTACTATGTAAGGAGGTTTCTTTGGGTGTGAACCAAGTTCTTATCTGTTTATCTGTTTTGTTGGCTGTTGGCACCTTTATCGCAGCTTGTATTCTATTTAATTCTCAGGTTCTTTTCCTGAATCTTAGAATCTGTTGCCTTAGAAAAGAGTCCTTTTGATTCATGTGTGAGCATCAACTAGGTTTGTTTTGCTGTTTAATCTTTCTCTATGCTGTCCACTTCTTTGTTTTTAAATATTTTGAAACCACACTGTATCTTCATTTTTCAGACTCAGGCTTATGCTTGTAAGTCATTACTAAGCTTAGAGTTATTTGTGAGGCATCAGATAAATATAGTCTTGTCTTTTGTAGAATTAATTTATTCTCAGAGTCTAGGTAATCTTCAAGATATTTTTTACTCATTCATCTTTTAACACATTAACATGTTAATCCATTGTAAATTCTTTAAAAAAGTGATGGGACTGTGCCAGAGTTAGCTCTCATTCCAAGTTGTTCTTTACTGCATGTTCATCCTATTTAATCTTCTCTCCTTAGACTTTCTGTGAAAAATGTTTTTGGAAACAAAAAACACTAGAAATTCAGCACTTCATTTTTTTATTTTAACATGATGCCAATTGATTGTCTTTCCGTCCAAATCCTTCTTGCATTTTATTGGTAGTGCTTCTTCAAGGTCATAACCTATGTTATGTGCATATGATACTAATCTTTTGCAGGGTTCCTTTGTCTGATTTTAAGTAGAAGATCTAGTGGCCAGTCTGATCAATTTCTCTACAGAGTTCCTTTGTCTGATTTTAAGTAGAAGATCTAGTGGCCAGTCTGATCAATTTCTCTACAAGCATCCACTGAACATTGGAGATAGGCTCTTATTACACATTGTAAGGATATAAATGAAAGAATATTTTCAGGAAGATGAAGGACTTGCTAGGTTATTTTTCCATTTTAAAAAACTGAATCACCCCTTCCTACAATCATTGTTATGTTTCCATCAGAATCCAGATAGTATATCTTGCTTCTTGCCCATCAGAAAATATCCTTTATATTATTATGCAGGGTAAGAACTGTATTTGTTTCACTTCCAAGAGTGGAGATCTGGTATTATGGATACCTTTGAGAGAAAATAATTTTCCTGCTACTGTTCTTCTGTGAAGATGCTCATAATTACAGATTGCCACTCAGAAGCTTTTCAATGACATGATGGCCCTGTAAGACCTTATATGTCTCTTACTCAAAGATAAGTAATTTTATCTTTTGCTTAAAAATGATCTTCTGAATAGCAATTAGGAAGATCCTCTATTCCTATTAAGAGCAAAATCCTAGGCTTTGAGGGGAGATTTTTGACAGTTATTTATCTGTTTATGTTCTGTTGTTGTGTACAGAAGTGTGTAATTCCCTTATCAGTATCTGGATTCATCTGAAAGTGAAATTAGTTCTTGAATCTGAATCACATAAAAAATAGCTTGCTTTGAAAATGAGCATTTAAAAACAAAACTTCAGTTTTTAAAATCTCATAAAATCACTGGAAAAATGAACCTTTTTCTGACTTATGAATTGCTGTCTTGCAAGGATCATCCCATGGTTTTTTCTTCTTGCAGTTGTTTTTCTGGGTTTGTGGTTTTTTTTTTTTTTTCTTTTCACGTGACCTCTAACAAGTTCTCAATCTTTTACTCTTTTACCATTTATGCCCTGCTTCTAGAGATTCCAGGGCCTTGTGGTTTTCTGATACCAGGTAAGGTTGCAAGTAAGACCTGGAATGGATGATATGTTTCAGAACAGACCTTCTGACCTTCCTTTTGTGTACCTCAAACAGACTTCTTTCCTACAACATGCATGCTTACTGTTTGTTTTCCCTTTTAGTGAATTTAGAGCTGACTTGTCATGATGTATCATTTAATGTAGATGTATGAAAAACTTCATTATTTTAAAAGCCTAAGATCAGGTTCTGAAAGTTACCTGATGGTTGCCACTCCATTGTACTGACATCAGTGATTTCATTAGCAGTTTCGCTGTAAAGTGACTCTGTAGATACTGATTTTGTTTCAAGAGCAAAGAGGATCTCCTAAAAAGTCAGTATTTCTTGCAAAGGCTTCTGAGAAACTGTTTTTGAGAAGGTTGATGTTATGTTTTTCTTCAAAAATATTAGATAAGTAAATGTGTGAGCGTATGTGTAGTTATTGATAATAAAATAATACACAGTCCATTTTTCACTCTTCATGGAAGAAAAGTGCTTTTTTTGCTTTTATTCTAAGATTTTTTTCGAGTTATAGCTTATGCAAAGATATATATATCAACACTGAAAAATCAAATAACAGAATATTAAACGTTTTTTTTTTTCTTAAACATACAACAGTCCGCTAGTAAATATAAGCAAAGAAGGGAAGAAGAGAAAATATAGTAAAAATGAGAACAGGGTCTGAAACTTCCTTTTCATCAGAAGTAAAAATATCTGAAGCACTTCAATTTTTTGATCCTATAGCTGAGGAATTATGAATCAAATTATTCATTTTTCTTGGATACTGTACATATGGAGAAGTTTGAAATTAAAACTTATGGCACAAAATCAGACTGGCTTACTTAATAACTTGTTGGAAATGATGTTCCCATTTGGTCATTCTCTTTTAGAGTTGAAATTCACTTTGCTAATTCATACAGGAAAACAATGTCTGTTAATTAATGTTCTTAAATTCATGCCAAATAATAATCATTTTATTGAATGGGAAGTAGAAATGAGGCCATGGTGTTTGGAACAAGAAAGAGCAGACTTACAGTCTTCAATAAGAGCTTCTTACCCCATATGTTTTTCATAGCACATCTTAATACCCTCTAGCAATAATTTGTGATAGTCTAAGGTGTTTTTTCCAACTTGCTTACCTTTGCTGTTTGCTGCTTTAAGAAACTAATCATCTATAGATTTTTCTCTCAAAATAAGGTAATGAAAACAAGAATAGTCAGTGATCTACATAGATGGTGACTTTGGCAATTGTCGCAACTTATCTTACCACGAATTACTGTGTTCATCTCCCAGCATTTGCTTGCAAACTGCGACACAGATGGTTACTATCAACTACAGATTAAAGGAGAAGTTTGTCAATCTTTCTGTAGCACCCCTACTGTATCCTTATAATCATATGGCTTCCTTCCATGCCAGTTCCTTTACAGTAGCTTATCAGAGCTTGCCAAATAAAAGAGAATTTTGAAAGTTTAAATAATAGAAAGCAAAAAAAACTCCACGTCACATCTCATTAAAAATGCACTGTTACTTCAGAAAAAAATTGCAGTCTGGCTTGTTTCATTTAAAATCATAGAGAGCAAGCAGGCAGTTCCACCACTAGGTATGAGGAGTTTGTTTTGCCTAGTCACTGAAGAAATCACAAGTTATCCATTAAAACTTAAAAATTACCTGTAGATTTTTCCACAAGTCCAAGTCTGAAATAAAGCTGGAGTCAGTAATGTCGTTAAGCAATAAAGCTGGAGATAGTAGAGAATGTATGTTCATTCTCTTAATAGGCATTTGGTCAAGTCACCCCTGTTTTCTTTTACAATAATTAATCTTAAAACTTGTACAAATTATTTGAAAATGATGCATTATTGCATCATTATTCATATCATTACAAATATCATTAGATTATTTCTAATTTTAAACAAATATCTGGTAATTTATTTGTTTGCCTGACAAAAGAAAAAACAAAAACACCAAAACACCAACTGATAGTTTATAATTTGAAAATTTGACATGAAAAAGCAGCATTAAAATTGTAAGCCAACAGAAAATAAGCAAATATCTAATGAATATTTACATCTTAGGAATAAGATTTAGGTAGGATAAAAAATCAGTCTGGTTTTTAAGACTTTAGATCTTGTCAACATTGCTTTCTAATTTCTATTTTTATAACTGTTGTAATAACCATTGTAACAGAAGCAAGACTGAAGGCATTAAAGGCAGCCATCTTTTGTGTGTAGATTCATGATACTTTGAGAGTCAGCTAATGCAGAAATGAACTGTGGCTGACTCCATAATGAGACAAGGTGCTGTATAGACCTACTTATAGTGAGATAGCTTAGACAGTATATTTTATCACAGATGTTCAACTTATTTTGCTAGGTCATTTTGCCACAAGTTCTATGTAATCCTGCAAATAAATAAAATTACAGTTCATGGTAACACCACCAATAGAAGGACTGGAAACTGCTATAGCCTTTCTTTTCTCAGAGACAATTTTTACCTGATAAATTTGAAACTGTATTCTTAATTTTGTTAATAAAAAGGGAAGGCAATTATCATGGATCAGAACTATACAGATTTCAAAGAATGAGGATATCAAAATCACTTGGGGGTCAGCTGCTGCTGCTTTTTCTTTTTTTTTTTTTTTTTTTTTTTTAAGAGATTAAAGCCAAAAATTGAGCAGCAAATATATCTGGGCATGTCAAAAGAATTAAGGACAATCAAGCATTCCATTCATGCAGAAATATCACAGTCTTAGAAACAAATACTGTTTTAGAATGTATAGCAGTGTAGCAGATACATCCTGTCAAATATGAATTAGTAGTTTGTTTCTGAATATCACATTTGTATTTTTAAGGGCCCGTGGATGTCAATATTCTTGCTAAGTGTAACCCTTGCTTATCAAATCCATGTAAAAATGATGGAACCTGCAATAATGATCCAGTTGACTTCTATAGATGTACTTGCCCATATGGTTTCAAGGTAGGTACTGGATGAAGAAGAAAAATTAGTGAAGTATTAGCCACTCCCTTTTAAACAACAGTTTGTTTTAACTGACTCCCTTCCATTAATATCTGTATTTTCTTCTTAAATTATACCTGTTCCCTGCATAGGGTCAAGACTGTGATATTCCCATTCATGCCTGCATTAGTAACCCTTGCAAACATGGTGGAACTTGTCATTTGAAAGAAGGAGAAAAAGATGGTTTCTGGTATGTTGTTTTTAACTCTAATAACAGAATGAAAAACTGTTGACTTTTATATTTATGCAGGTGTTAATCTTTGGGTTCTCTTTGTTGATAATTGCAACTCAAAGGCAGGTTTACATTGCTTCTGAAGTTTTCAGACATGTCACTATCCGTGGAAAGCTTCTAAATCCCCAAAACATTAAAAAACAGCAATAAATGGTTCTGATTAGTAGAGGCTTTTCAGGTCAAGACAACATAATATTGACTCCATTATGCTAATTAATAGCTGGCTTGATCCCTGCTGAAAAAATCTCACCATTCATCTGTTGTCGTGTGTATTAGTTTAACAGACAGCATGTAAATGATAAAATTTAAATCCCAGTGAAAGAGAAAATTAATGATTCATTTGAAACTCACTATGCCAGCAGATAAACATGCTGTGAACATTTTTAATCTTGAGTTATTTAATCACACAGTACAATTACTCCAGATGTACTTCATGAATTATGAAATAAAGTTCTTTAGCATTCTTCTGTGAAATTATTAGTCATTTAATAATCTACACCTCAACCTAGTTAAAAATGACACTTCAAAAAGAAACAATTCATTATCCTGCACTTCATTAAGACATTATTTTTATTTTTTAATCCATATTCTGCCCAAAGATCAAATACTTTTCTATTTAAAATTAAGTATATAGATCTTACTATTGTGTCTCTAGAATTTAATGTGACACAGCCCTGTCTCAGGATTCAAGCTTTTCCATTTGTTTAAACACTACATATTTTGAAAATCAAAACATTTGTAAAAACAAAGCAAAAATCATCCCTTTGAAAAGTTTATGTAGGCTTTGTTTTCAGATACAAATACAGGTACTGTATTGTGGAACTTTAAATACAGATGTATAATGATGTATTTAACTAATAGATCAGTAGGAGTACTACGTACTAATCTCTGATTCTGCAGTTTTCTCCATTCACTTAAATTGTTTTTAAGAACAAGACAAACAACAAAAAAGCAGGATTATTTTCCTTAAGAAATATAATCTCATGTAATAATAGAAAGGTAGCAGTCATTTCAAAACCAGTTATTTCAGAATCGAAAAGGCACAAATTCAGAAGCCTTTTTGTCTGTAACTTAAAATGATAAAAATATTTGGAGAATATTTACTACATTTATTTTATATCATCCATATTCTCTTAGAGGTAGTGATTATAATTAGCAACCCTATTAATTACAGAACTTCTCTGATCTTCCCAGCTAAAATATTTGTGTGCTTGGTTTTATTTTTGGTTTTACAGGTGCACTTGTGCAGATGGATTTGAAGGTGAAAATTGTGAAATAAATGTTGATGACTGTGAAGACAATGACTGTGAAAATAATTCTACTTGTGTGGATGGAATTAATAATTATACTTGCCTTTGTCCACCTGAATATACAGGTAGGAATATAAAAGAAAGAGAAATTCCTAATAGGAAAGAGCTCTGTTTTTGTATGCGAGTCAATTTACTTTACAATTGATTTAAGGCCAAGTTTCCCTCAATAATTCTCTTCAGTATGGTTTGTAGTAAAAAGTAGACAATACCTACTCATTAATTTCCCTGTTATTTTTCAAATTATAGCATTTGAATTTCAAAAGATGTTTCAAAATGTGTTGAAAAATGTGTTGAAAAGATGTTTCCTCACATGTTTATCTAGCCCAACCAGGCCAATGAAGAATGCCCATAGATGTAAAAATCCGAAAAAAATATATTACTTTTATCTTCTATTTTCCAAGTTGCTACCAGGGCAGAAAAAAATGTCTATTTGTGCTAACATGGAAATGGATTTGGTGTCCTGGATGTTGTCCTGGCCTCCTTTAAAAATATTAATTCAGACTGTGATGAAGAAAATAGCATTACAAGAAAATAGCATCATTAGAGTTGGCAGCCAGGCTCCTCTCTTTGAGACACAGGGTATCTTGCTTGCTCTCATCATGTGTGTGAGAATGGAGAGTAGTTAGAACAGGAACATGTGAGAAGAAGAAGAAAGATCTGTTGTTTATGTTCATCTGTTTCATAGTTTTTCTAGTTAGACAGATCTGCTTTCTGTCAGCTAGCAGTCCACTAGGAGAACACAGAGCTTAAATTCACAAAACCATTATTTGTAACACATAACAAAGATGCAAGATCCTCTCTAACCTAGGAATTAACTAACTATACCTAGTCAACCTCTTTTCTTAATATAACAATCCTATTGCATCTATTAGTTATGCTTTTCATCATCCTCAGGGAGCACTAAATTTGGGCTCTGGAAAACTGGAAGGAGAGGTTAAGTAATGAAGTAATTTCATTTATTGAAAACACAGCTAACACCTTTTTAATCCAAGGCATTTCCATCATTATTTTTACAACCCACTGGATTGCTGAAATGATATAGTGTATTCAGATTTGAAGTCAGTATTTAAATCTTGAAAACCTTCAGTAAGAAAAAATGATAGAACAGAGGTATAAGAAATATGTAATCTGTGTTTTCATCCAGTACTTATTCTGGGTAAATGTTTGGAACCAATTTCTCTATGAGGAATGAGCCACAATACCTAAAGAGAAATGAGTTAAAAGCATATGTAGCCAGAATAAGGTAAATAAGAATAATGGGGTGGTCCACATCTGCAAGATTAGACTTAACCTACTGCTTAAGAAAACTCTTTTGTCAGGTACTCCTCCCTCACTCTACTGGAAAGCAACTGAAAATTCAAGCCTTAGAAAGAAATAGTAGGTTACAGTGGCAATAAGTAGTAGCAGATCTTTTTTATTTCTCCTATATCTAATATTTCAGCTATATCTGAATCAAGCTTCAGATCCCAGTATTAACTGCTATCTCCTTTGAAAATGAACAGATACTCTTTTGCACAGGATGGAAGAAAGCAAACCAGTCAAATCAGTCTAGTTTTCCTATTTAACAACTTCACGTTAAGAGGTTTCATGTACTTATTAAATAGTGGACAATTCATTTGCACATCCATCCTCCTCAGCAGTTTTTGGCGTGTGTTTCTTATTTCTTCATTTCTGACATCACCCTAGGTGCATTTGGGCTGCTAGGGCAAACAGCTTGTTGTATTCATAATAACCCATGGGAAGGACTGTTTTGTATTAAATATCCATGGAGTGGATACAAAGGCTTGTTTATATGTGCTAGCCTAAAATTTTGATTGTGTGCTTGTTGCATTTCTGTTGCATTTTAATTGAAATGTATGTTTTACATTTACAATTAAAACTTCAATTGTAGTATTTATATATATATGTAGTTAGAGAAAAAAAATGAGAGCATAAACGTTTGCAGCATTTTTAACTTGATGTTTGTAATGTAGTTGGGTTGTTTTTTTTTAAGTTAAAACAGAAGAAAGTGTGTTTTTTACTTGACTCATATCTAAGGAAATGGCAATTACTTTGCTTTGAGGAGCCTGTTGTTGTAGAATGCTGCGCATAATTCTAACAAGAAAATGCTGTGAGTTTCCATGGCAAGTGGTTTTGTTTGCTAGATGGACTTCTTTTAGAAAAGCAAATTTGTTTTCATAGATACAGTTTCTAGTCAAAATTGTTACTGAAATCAGTAGGTCATATAAATAGATTATTTCCAAACCTTACGGAAAAAAAAGACACACGTTTTTCCAAACATGCAAGACCAGAGCCTCTGCTCACTTTATAGACGAGGTGGACGTAAGTAGTATCAAAATTTCAAGATTTTCTTTCCACAGGACACAGTACAGAATTCTACTGTACATTATCTGTCTTACAGAGCATCTGAAGTTAGGATACGTTCTGTGAGATCTTAAGCCAGTTTCAATTCAGATAAATTATAAGGAGAAAATATAAAACATCATTTATCTTTTACACTTGACACCACTGTTCTTGCATAGTAAGTATGTTACTTAAGTAACTTTAAGCATTAAGAGTTACTCTGGGTACATTAGGATCTAGAAATAGTAGTGTTCAGAATATAAAATGGTCTTACAGTTGCCTCAAGTGTGTATGAGATATCAAATTATTTATGGGATTGTTTTTTCCTTTTGCGCATAGCTTGATTTGAAAGCAATAGAACCCATACCCAGTATTAATACAGTGATTTTTCATTAGGAGTTTTGCAGACATTTCGATGTTGGTATCTGTTTTAAAAGGTTAAAATCAGATCTGTATATTACTATATGCTGGGGTTTTTTTCCTCGTGGAAGGCATTTTTCAGTAGATAAACAGCTGTACTAGCTCGGCAAAAGTAGGCTAATCATCAGAAAAACTGGCTATATATTCAGTAGGTAAAAAAATATTTTAAAATATGAAAGTATGTATCTCTAGTTCAGAAAGTCCCTGAACCATAAGTTGCTGGAAGCTGAACAGTATACATACCAGGAAAATGCCACCACAGCCTTGTCGTGTTGTGTTTTAATTTTGCTGACAATGCTTTGTATTGTTTGTGTGCAAGATACCACGGCAAGGATATACTGAATGTGGAAGTGCATCAGCCCAGAATATTTTTTCATTCTTTCATTTGCAAATATGTTTTATGTTTCAGTAGCACAGTGTAACAAAGAAGTCAGTTGGAACCCATTAGTATGAATTGTAAATCATTCTGCTCTAAAATTTTAATACAATTGACTCTGAAAATACATAAAAAATACAAAAAACATTGTAAAGAACGTTGCAGTGCAAAACTCTGTCACTTTTTGCATTTTTTTTTTACAATCCCTTGGAAATTTGCACTTCTTAAATAAGTGCTATTGATTAAAAAGAAGAAAAAAAAGAAAGAAAGTAAAAAAAAAAGGCTGTTAGCTTACGAACCAGGAATCGATTTTCCTCTGCCTCAGTTAAGTTTTGCAATTACCTCCACAAATAAAAGTGGAAAGACAAAGAAAGGTATTTGCACAATACTATGAGCTTTCTTAAGATCACAGACTGTAACTGTGAAATAACAGGAAGCAAATGGAATCATCAGGCATTCAGATTGTCTGATGAAATCTTGAGAAATAAAACATTAAAATGCTTCGCTATGTCCTGCACTCTTTAACTCTGCTATTCTCTTAACATTATCATCTCCTTTATATTAAACTCAGTCTAGTTAACATCAAGTCATTTTGTGTGCATTCTATAGACTACAGATAATCATTTATCTTTCTCATTACCATCAGTCATTAGATCACAAATCTAACAGATCCAGAAGTAAAATCTTTCTTATGCCATCAGTGGCATGTACTTCTTACCTTTTCTGTTTGTTTTGCTCTGCTGTAGGTGAGACTGAAGCTTGCTTCATTTTTGCTATATCAACATCTCTGCTGCTATAGCTGTGCATTAGCTTAATGTGCTATGCTGTTGTATTACAATGTAAAAAGTCTCTTGTCTCTTCTGTCTTTGTCACTGCAAGCTGCTAATCTGAATGAAGTGGAAAAAGGTCAGTTGTCTTTTAAGCCTATTTTCACTTTCCTTTCCTTAAAGGTGCATGGATTTAAGTTCTTACGAATGATCAAATGAATCGTATATAGATATCGTTTAGAAAGCTCATTGCAAATCCTGAAATCAGTCACATGGATATAGCTGTGAATACATGTCGAAAGAATGTCATTGAAGATACAGATCACTGTGCAGGAGTACTATAATATTACTTCTTTTCAGGTGTTTTACAAATTTGTGCACCCATGATAGGACTGACAAAAAGGTTTATGTTGTGATCTTCTGAAATCTTTAATACATACCTTGTTTCCATTCTAAAGTATGCTGTGTTTTATAGCACTGTTTTGATGTAATCTCATTATTAAATGATGGTACTAGAAATTATGCTGGAGTATAGAATGGTAGTCCTTTTGCTTATCATATGTGAGTGACATTTGTGCCATAAGTATCTAAAGAATCTGAAATGATCTCATTAAGCTCAGGCTGTTGTACAGGAAAGGTAACGGTGAAGGTATTTATGACATGAACTTCGGTTGTTTTTTATTGTTTTTTTTCTTTAAATTATTACTATTCTCTGTCTGACACCTATCTCTCTAACAGAGACAGTACATCTCCTATATAAGCTGATCTTCCGTACAATCCACTATTTACAATCTGAAACTAGCATAATTGGAGACAATGTATTTGTAAATTGCATATTTAGTTCTGAAAAGCAAATGGGTCAAATAAACTTGCAGTGTATTTGCTGTCAAGTAAATTTGATAAATATAATTTGCACTCTGTAAAACAGTGCTGTATTTCACTAATGAAAAATATTTTCTTTAACCACTAAATAACATATTTAACAACTGCAATTATACCGTCTATGTTGACATCTGAAGAGTTATTCTTAACAGTTTAAAGTAAGAGCCTGAATTCCCTCTGCAAATGACAGAGAGAAGCAGATACGTCCAGAAAGTGATTTCATCCACAATTTGGATACTTAAATTTGTATACAATTTAGACATGTCCTTCTTCTGCA